TGAGTCGCTGGGATTACAGGCACGCGCCACCATGCCCAGCTAATGTTTTGTATTTTTAGTAGAGACGGGGTTTCACCATGTTGACCAGGATGGTCTCGATCTCTTGACCTCGTGATCCACCCGCCTCAGCTTCCCACAGTGCTGGGATTACAGGCTTGAGCCACCGCGCCCGGCCTATTTTTATTTATTTTTTTAGAGGCAGGGTCTTGCTTTGTCACCCAGGCAGGAGTTCAGTGGCACAATCATGGCTCACTGCAGCTTTACCCTCCCAGGCTCAAGCAATCTTTCCACCTCTGCCTTCAGAGTAGCTGGGACTATAGGTGCACGCCATAATGCCCGGTTAATTTTATTAAAAAAATTTTTTTTTGTAGAGGTAGGGTCTTGCCATGTTGCCCACGCTGATCTTGAACTCCTGGCTTCAAGTAATCCTCCTGCGTGGGCCTCCCAAAGTCCTGGGATTACAGGCATGAGCCACCATGCCCGGTCCAGATGCAGCTTTGTATTTTTAAATTTTTATTTATTTTTAATTATTTATTATTATTTTAGATTGAGTCTCACTCTGTCGCAAGGCTGGAATGCAGTGGCGCCATCTCAGCTCACTGCAACTTCCCGGGTTCAAGTGATTCTTCTGCCTCGGCCTCCTGAGTAGCTGGGACTACAGGCATGTGCTACCACGCCTGGCTAATTTTTGTATTTTTAGTAGAGACAGGGTTTCACCATGTTGGCCAGACTTGTCTCAAACTCCTGGCCTCAGGTGAGCCTCCCGCTTCAGCCTCCCAAAATGCTGGGATTACAGGTGTCAGCCACCATGCCTGGCTGGATGCATCTTTTTAATCATTCTCCCTGAAATTAGACTTTGGGCTTTGAGCTTTCCCTCTGGATTAATGAAGGTCTTGGTTCTCTGATGGAAGTGACTTATGTTGTCTGCTTCTTCATGCCACTTCTAGTCAATTATTTCCTTAACCACATAACCAGAAGTCTATTTAGCCAGAGTGTTTTCTATTCTCAAGAGGCTCTTGAAAAACTCTTGCATACAAATGATATAGTCCTATCTTATGTAAATAAGATAGGACTATGTAAACATACAGGCCTTAAAACCTAGTTCAGCAGTTACTACGGAGTGAAGTCAATGAATAATATTAGTAATTCAGCAGCTGCAGTCATGGTTTTCAGAAAACAAATCAGCAAATTTTGACAGGTTGCAAACAATGAGTCAATTGATTAGGGCTGGAATTTCAGATATACAGACGTGTCTTCAAACGAACTGTTCCCGGAACGCCTGTCGGAACAACAAAGTCACTGGCAACAAAAGTGGAGGAGCGCTCCGATAGTTCCTCACGTAAAATCTAACCACCTGGCCACCGTCACGTAAAATCTCACACTTGAAATCCCTGCTCTTTGGGAGGCTAAGGTGAGAGGATCGCTTGAGCCCAGGAATTGGAGACCAGCCTGGGCAGCATAGTGAGACCTCGTCTCAAAAAAAAATAGCCAGGTGCGGTGGTTCTTCCAGCTACATGGGAGTCAGAGGCAGAAGGATTGCTTCAGCCTGGGTGGTCAGGGCTGCAGTGAGCAGTCATGGTGCCACCACACTCCAGTCTGGGCAACAGGGAGAGACTGTGTCTATAAAAAAAAAAAAAAAAAAAAAAGAAAAACAAAAGTACAATCTGACCACCTAATTGGTCTTGCTTTAAAACCCTTCCAAACCGTAGAAGTAGACAAAGTTATGATAAAGGGTATAATCCTAGGAAATCAAAAGAGACGACAAAACCAAAATACTGTAAAACTTTTCCTAACTAAGCCTTCAGGAAAACAGTCTGGCAGCTCCTAAAAAGGTTAAATATAGAGTTCCCACATCTCCCAGCAATTCCACTCCTAGGAATGTACCCAGGAGAAATGAAACCAGACATCCACACCATAACTTGCACACAAATGTTCGTAGCACTGTTATTCATAATAGCCAAAAAGTGAAAACAATCCAGTTATCCATCCACTGATTAACACATATTTATTTATTTATTCATTCATCCATTAGTTCATTATTTGGAGACAGAGTTTCGCTCTGTTGCCCAGGCTGGAGTGCAGTGGCTTACTGCACTCCATCTCCCAGGCTCAAGGCATCCTCCTACCCGAGCAGCTGAGACTACAGGCATGTGCCACCATGCTCAGCTCATCTTTTATTATTTGTAGACATGGTATCTCCCTGTGTTGCCAGGCTGGTTTTGAATTCCTAGGCTCAAGTAATTGTCCTGCCTCAGCCCCCCAAAGTGCTGGGATTACAGATGTGAGTCACCATGGCTGGCCTGATGAACAGATAAACAAAATATGGTATATTCATGCAATGAAATATATATATATATATAATTTTTTTTTTTTTTGAGACAAAGTCTCTCTCTGTAGCCCAGGCTGGAGTGCAGCCTGGCTTGGCTCACTGTAACCTTTGCCTCTAGGGTCCTGGTTCAAGCAATTCTCCTGCCTCAGCCTCCTGAGTAGCTGGGATTGCGGGGATGCACCATCATGACCAGCTAATTTTTGCATTTTTTTTTAGTAGAGATGGGGTTTCACCATGTTGACCAGGCTGGTCTTGAACTCTTGATCTTGTGATCCGCCCACCTTGGACTCCCAAAGTGCTGGCATTACAGGTGTGAGCCACCGCGCCCAGTCTGTTATACTTTTTTTTTTTTTTTGAGACAGAGTCTTGCTCTGTTGCCAGGCTGGAGTGCAGTGGCACAATCTCGGCTCACTGCAACCTCCACCTCCTAGGTTCAAGCGATTCTTCCGCCTCAGCCTCCTGAGTAGCTGGGACCACAGGTGCGTGCCACCATGCCTGGCTAATTTTTGTATTTTTAGTAGAGACAGGGTTTCACCATGTTGGCCAGGATGGTCTCGACCTCTTGACCTCATGATCTGCCCACCTTGGCCTCCCAAAGTGCTGGGATTACAGGCATGAGCCACCGTACCCGGCTATGCATTTTTTTAAAGGTGTTATAATTTTGTTAAAAATCAAAAACATGGCTAGGTACGGTGGCTCATGCCTGTAATCCCAGCACTTTGGGAGGCTAAGGCGGGAGGGAGGGGTGTGTGTGTGTGGTGTGTGTGTGTGTGTGTGTGATCCTCAAGCCTACCACCTGAAAACTGATACACTACTAGAGCGTTTTACCAAATTATGCTATGACATGACACGGATTTTGCTGTAAAACTGTCATTGGTTACTTAAACTTGCCTCACCAGCCTTTTCCTCTTTTTTTTTTTTTTTTTTTTTTTACAAGCCATTTCTAAAGTGGACATTAATCTACAACTTGGGGAACAGATGAGTGATCAAAATGTTCTGTCTAATAAGCTAGCTATATTACAAAATGATCATTTTGTATCATTTTATATCTGGGATTACAGGCTTGAGCCACAGTGCCCAGCCCAGACTGCCTTTTTTTTTTTTTCTCTGAGACAGGGTCTCACTCTATCTCCCTGTCACCCAGGCTGGAGTGCAGTGGCATAATCTCGGCTCACTGCAACCTCTGCCTCTTGAACTCAAGTAATCCTTCCACCTCAGTCTCCTGAGTAGTTGGTCCACAGGCATGCACCACCACGCTCCGCTATTGTTTCATATTTTTGGAAGAGATGGAATCTCACCATGTTGCCCAGGCTGGTCTTGAACTCCTGAGCTCAGGAGGTCTGCCACCTTGGCCTCCCAAAGTGCTGGGATTACAGGTGTGAGCCACCATGCCCAGCCCAGACTCCAGCCCAGGTCCTTAACCTGGTTCCACATTCTGGACAAGATGCCTAACCCCTCTGGCCTATTTGCATGTAATATGAGGATAAATGATGGTAGCCAACTCACAGAGATGTTGGGAGAACTAAGAGAGTTAGTTGTGTAAATAAAGTACATAGAACAGAGCCTGGCATAAAGTTAGCACTCAATAAACTTTATCTGTTATTATGTTACCTTATCAATCTCATAAACTTCAGGGAGTGGGGGCACTATTTACTTTCTGCCAGATCTCTCTCATAAGAATCTCGGACTTGGTCCCTGGGAGTAAATAAATCATAAAGGATGGGGCTGTGCCTAAGCAGAGGGGTTCAATTCAGACAGATCAAAACCATTTCTGGCCAAGTGCAGTGGCTCACACTGTACTCCCAGCACTTTGGGAAGCTGAGGCAGGAGGATCACTTGAACCCACATGTTCAAGGCCAGCCTGGGCAACATAGTGAGATCCCCGTCTCTATTAAAAAAGATGATTTCCTTTCTCCCTGGGTGGGACCATTTGGTTTTGTGAGGGGCCTAGTTCCCCCAACACCCTCTACGAGCCCAAATCCAGTAGGAGAATGCAATCTTCCCTGAATATACAGACTCCAGAGTTGTGGTGTGAAATAGCGGATCTCACCCTTAGGAAATCCAGGGATATGGTGATGAGTTGAGGCCTTTGGAGGTAGAACGCTGCACACAGGATGAAATAAACCTCTTAGGAGAGAAACCTGCAATAGCTTCCTTGAGCATTCCTTGGTGCTGTGATTGGCTCTGGTTAGACTTTCTTGAACTATAACCCAAAATCTTGCTGACATTGAGTTATTGGATTCCAGAGCTGACCTAGTCTTGTTGGGTAACTGCAACTTGTGTGCCCTGATTGCTTAGTTTGATAGTGACCCTGCTTGTCTGCTACAAGCTGCAATTTGATGCCATAGAGCAACTCATGCTGACTTGTGGTCTAGTAGCAATGTTCCGTCTTGGCCGACTCTGGATCTTTCTGGTTCTATGCTGATTTTGTGCCTCCGTTTATGTGCTCAACTCTGCCTGTGCCCCTGTGGATGCATTATAAGTCTCCCTATCCCTGATGGGACTCTTGGTCAACTCAAGACAGAGTGCTTTCCTTCTCCGAAGGGAAAATGCAGGCACAGAGAAACCAAATTATTTGTTTAGAGAAACAGAGAGCTAGAAATTTAGTTGGGCCAGAATTAGAAACTTCCGATCACACTGCATCTAAAATATAGTAATTAACAAGACTTCATTCTTAAATAAAATGTTGCTTTAATAAAATACTGCACATAGGTATTTTTCTTTTCAAAGATGTTATGAGCAGGATGGTTGTTTTGAATGATAATGTATGGTATACTATATAATTAGTAGCAAAAACAAGGACTTTCAAATAAATATGCTTCCTTTTTCTTTTTTTTTTTTTTTTTTTTTTTTTGAGGATACTCTGCAAATCAGCTGAGATTGAAAAACAGGCAAGGAGGGCCAGGTGCAGTGGCTCACGCCTGTAATCCTAGCACCCTGTGGGGCCCGAGGCGGGCAGATCACTTGAGGTCAGGAGTTTGAGACCAGCCTGGCCAACATGACAAAATCCCATCTATACTAAAAATATAAAAATTAGCCTGGCATGGTGGTGCACATTGGTAGTTCCAGCTACTGGGGAGGCTGAGGCATGAGAATCGCTTGAATTGGGAGGAAGAGGTTGCCTTGAGCCAAGATCGTGCCACTGCACTCCAGCCTGGGTGATAGAGTGAGACTCCCTCTCAGAAAAAGGAAAGAAAAGACAAACAGGCAAGAAGGAGCTGGCTAGCTAGGCATAGCGGCTTGCACCTGCAGTCCCAGCTACGCAGGAGGCTATAGTATGGTGGGAGGATCGCTTGAGCCAGGGGTTCAGAGCAGCCTGAGCAACATAGTGAGACCCTGTCTCAAAAAAAAAAAAAAAAAAAGAGAGAGAGAGAAGGCGTTGACTTTTCCTCTAAGAATGTGCTCTTGGTTGGCTTGCAATAGAGAAAGGAGTCATATTTACCCTCTATACTGGAGTGACCTTCTGAGAGAGGAATCCTGGCCCTCTCCTTGTCATTTTGCCCAAGATTTCAGAGTTGAATCGAAACATACAAAAGCACCACCAGAGTCGCCCTCTAGCCATCCAAAGATCCAGCAGGGTGGATGTGGAGCCAGTAGAAAAATCTGTGAAAAGCAGGGCTGGGCTTGTAAGGAGGAATATGTGATGTGATAGAGGAGATGTCAGCTATACATGAATGTTCTGATCTAGTACAATGTCTGGGTCACTCCAGCCATTCAGAAATCCAGGGAAATACGATGACCATGTATACACAGTAAAAAAATACTAGAAGCAGAATGACCTCACCAACCACCTATTAATTATACTTCAGCTGCACCCCGTTACTGAGAGTGCATTATTATATAATTAAAGCCATTTAGACATGGCTTAGCATAGCATTTGCCTGATACACCACATACTAAACACTCCTCCTTATACCGTCTTCTTTTTCCTGTCAGCTTCAGTGCTCCTTTCTCCTTGTCTTGGTAAAGATGAGCACAGGTAGAAAATTCTCGTTTAGGAACTCCAGCCTGGGCTTATGAGCTGGCCCTACCTGGAAGTCTTGCTTTTGTATATCTGACAAAAGAACAAGGGAAAATCCAGAACAACCCAACTTCTAGTATGGAGTCTTTCTCAATAGCTTCATTAGCTTTTCAACACCAATATGATTAGAATTGTAAAAGGGGGAGAGGACCACCTGGGCTGACAGCACCTCTGGCCTCAACATGGGCTGGCAGAAGACCATTCAAAGATGAAATGGGCTGTTCCAGTGGGAGTGAGCTCCCCACCTCTGAGAGTATTCAACTAGAGAGGGGAGGACCCCTGGCGGCCTGGCGGGAAACTCACATGTGGTGGGAGAGCGTATGTTATATGGCACTTCCATCTGAAAGAGGCTGGAGTCACACATTGGAATAAGCCAGGTGACCCTCCAATCTGCCATCTGTGATTTAATTCCACAATGGCAGAATGGATGGCATGTCACTTGGTCCAAACACTGGTGGCCATTGCTTCAGATACTAGTTCCCCTCAATCCCTGGCACAGTTGTTGACTTTAAATACTGAAGACTCCACATCCCTTACAAAGACTTCTTGTGCGGCTGGCCCAGGACCTGGGCGAGGCAGTAGGGGATGACACTGACGGATGCCAGGGGCACTGCTGCGCTCTTGCAGAAGGACAAGATGTAGAAGACCAGCTCAACTTGGGCGGGGGGCTTCAAGGAGTCAAAGAGGTGCAGGAGGATGAGTGAGGCTGCAATGCAGCTGAGGCGGAATGGGAGCCACTTGCTGAGTTTGCCCTTGCAGCTCTCCCTGTACATGCTGGAGTTGAGAGCCAGCCCCAGGCCAAAGAGCGTGCCCACATTCTTGAGGAGGCTGGCAAAGGGCGTGGTGTCGATGTGGATCCATTCTGGCCGCTCACACCACCTCTGGGCTTTCTGTATAGTCCACAGGAGGTCTACACCCAGCCCCTTGAGCAGCAGATAAAATCCAATGGCGAAGCTCAACAGGAAGAAGGTGGTGAGGAAATATTTCTTGAGGCTGGCATTATAGATGCCATGGATGTGGCTGAAAGTTTCTGCAACAGCAATTCCTGAGTGGAAGAAATAATGACTGTGAGAGACAGAAAGGATCTGGGACCTTTGCTAGAGGTGGGTTCGGAGCAACGGGTGACATGCCATCCATTTGTGGCATTACACATCTGCGACTGTGAAATTAAATCACAGGTGGCAGATTGGAGGGTCGCCTGGCTTATTCCGATGTGTGACTCCAGCCTGCCCTCAGTATAGACTCTTTCAGATGGAAGTGTCATATCGCACACATCCTCCCACCATAGGCAGGTTTCCTACCAGGAGGTCCTCCTAGCTCTGCTTGAATACTCTCAGAGGTAGGGAGCTCACTCCCACTAGAATAGTCCATTTTATCTTTGAATGGCAATGCTTGCTGACTGGTTCTTCCTTGTGCTGTGTGAAATTGGTCCCCCTCTAATACTATCTATTTTTCTCAGTTCATTCTGCAGTAATTAGTAAGTGGTGAATCTAGTCCCTCTGTTACACATTTGAACACAGTTATTCTCTTCAACCTAAATATTCCCAGGTTTTTCATGTAATATGGCTTCCAGGTTCTTCCTCAAACATGGAACGCAGTACTAAATGCTGTGTTCCTTTTGTGATTACCATGAAACCATTATCTCCCTTGTTCTCAGCATTCTTCTTTGAATGTTGCTGTGTTCTGCTCTTTCAGATCTCCAGGGAAGAAATGCCACAATTTTCTTAAGGTCTTTTTTGTTTTTTTGAGACGGAGTTTTGGACTTGTCACCCAGGCTGGAGTGCAATGGTGCAATCTCAGCTCACTGCAACCTCCGCATCCCAGGTTCAAGAGATTCTTGTGCCTCAGTCTCCTGAGTAGCTAGGATTGCACGCATGTGCCACCATGCCCAGTTAATTTTGTATTTTTAGTAGAGACGGGGTTTCTCCATGTTGGTCAGGCCAGTCTTGAACTCCCAACCTCAGGTGATCTGCCCACTTTGGCCACCCACAGTACTGGGATTACAAGTGTGAGCCACCACACCTGGCTTGTTAAGGTCAGTCTTATAGTCCAGTGCCTCCCACAAAGTCTATCCTTCCTTCCCTCCTTCCCTCCCTCCCTCTTTTCCTTCCTTCCTTCCTTTTCTTTCTCTTTCTTTCTTTCTTTCTTTCTTTCTTTCTTTCTTTCTTTCTTTCTTTCTTTCTTTCCTTCCTTCCTTCCTTCCTTTCTTTTCTTTTCTTTCTTTCTTTCTTTCTTCTTTCTTTCCTCTTTCTTTCTTTCTTTCTTTCTCTTTCTTTCCTTCCTTCCTTCCTTCCTTCTTTCTTTTCTTCTTTCTCTCTTTCTCTCTTTCTTTCTTTCTTTCTTTCTTTCTTTTCTTTCTTTCCTTTCTTTCTTTCTTTCTTTCTTTTTCTTCTCTTTCTTCCTTCCTTCCTTC